CGCTATGAGTCGGGGCCGACTTGACGGCACATAACAACAACAACAATGATCATTTCTTACCTGGAATACTTCAATACTGTTAACTGGGCTCTTAGCTTCCAGTTCAAAGGCTAGGGTGATTTTTCTGAAACGCACATCTGATTCTATTATTACTCTTGGATTCAAGGTAGAGTTCAAATTTATTGAGATGACAAAGAAATGTCCTTGGTGACTTGTTCTTGGCCTACCTTTCAACCTTAATACTTGCTAAGTCTTGGGTCATTACTTACATTCCAGCAATGTAAGTCCTATGCGTATGTAGTTTTATATATATGTCATGTTCACTCATGCTTTGTACATGCTAAGGCCGTTTCCCAGATCACCTTCTTTTTCTTGATAACTTCCTTGTACAGGCCTGACCAACACTTATTCAACGTAACTGAGCACTTACAATGATATTCTTTTTCATACTCCTTCAGCTAATCTCCAAGTTCTATGAATATAAAGGTTTATTTTGTTCATTTCTACATGAGAAGGCATCTGGTGTATTAAAAGAGCTCACTACTACCACCTTGGTCTAACCCAGCATCATTTATACATCTCTACAGTATAACTTCTAACTAACTAGTGTCCGTGTTGTTCTCTTCCTTCCCCCCTACAATCTATTCTCCAAAAGCACTTTGAGTAAGCTTTTAAAAATATAAATAAAAGGATATTACTGTTTTGCTTAAAAAAACATCCAATTTTTTCCTTATGGATTTAACACAGAATCCAAACTCCAATAGAGTCATACATGATGTAATATCTATTTCTCTCTGTTTCTTCCCATGTGCTAACCACCTCTTGCTCACAAGAGATTTTCTTCATCTTCCAAATGCATTCCTACCTAGTCTTTGCACTATTCACTCTCCTCCCTGGAACTCTCTGCCCATTCAGGCTTCTCAGATCTTTCATATCTTGCTATCTAAAATATCTTCTCAGAGGACACAATCCAAAGAGAACCTCTTTACTCCTGCCTTTCATATTATGACCTGTCTTCTTTACCATGGTCTTGCTTATTTATCTTATTTACTGTCTCTATGACCTTTCTAGAATACAAGCGCCACGTAATGTATTTTGTCAGCACCTGCAATAGTATCACCTAGAATGAAGCAGGTCTCCCTTCTTAAGTACTTG